TCAGGATTTTGGGAAATTTTTCTTCCAGAAGCTTTTCAACTATGTCCTCTGTGGACTTGTGTGATTCTTCCTATTCCAGGATGCTGATAATTTTTAAGTTATTTCTCTTCATGTTGTCCAACATGAATCTTAGGCCTTTTTTATCCTTTTTTGTGCTTGCTCTTCTATCTTAGTAGTGTTGAGATATTTATCATCTATCTCACTAGTTCTGGCTTCTATCTCATCAATTCTGCACCTTTGCCCTTTCAGTGTATTGTCCATTTCTGATATTCTATTATTAATCATTTTGACCTCTTTCTGTAGGTTTCGAATTGTGTCCAGTGCTGTATCTATCTTGTTTGATTGTTCCTGTAGTGCTTTTCTGACTTCTTACTTGTTTTTCTCAACTCCATTGTATAGTGTTTTGATACATTTTATAATCTTTTTTATGAATTCCTTCTCAGGCATTTCTAAAGCCTGCCCATCTTCCAGTATGGAGTGTAGGTCTACTTCCAGCTCATTTGCCTCAGTCAGTTTATCTCGTTTCTGGACATGTGCTGATATGGTCATCTGTTTCTGTTTTTTGGGCCTATTCAGGAGTTATCTGTGGCCTTAATACTTAGATGGATGTGTATTTTGGTATTTTTTATGCTTTCTGATTGCTTCCAGGTAGATGTGATCAGGAGATGGGCTTCCCTTTTCAAGGGAAGAAATTTCAAGATGCCACTGTTGTTCATTGTAACGTAACTCAGGATTCAATTTTCAGCCTATTTCCTTTTTAGTCTGCCTGTCCTACTCTACAATCCCTGTTCAGGCCTTTTTCCTAGTGATAAACAGTTCAGGGCCAGCTGTGGCCATTTGATTTTAAATGGAAACTCTGACTTTAAATTTCTAGGAGATCTATGTGCATGTATAGTAGAACCCTCTGGGGGTGGGGGTGGGGTGTCCACTCGCTCAGGCACCCCATCTAGTCACCAGAATGCAGATGCACAGACAGCGAGAGACAATGAACAGATACCAAAAAAAAAGAATGTCCACACCTTTATCTCATCGGCTCTTTCAGGCGTCTGTGGCTGCTCTGATCCTTCCCCTGCTTGGTCTCGCCCAAGATGGCAGCTCTGGGAGCAGCTGAGCATCTTGAATTAGAAAGCAATGGATTTCTTGCCTCTGCTACAGATTCTCCTACCTGTAAGCCTTTCAACCTTGTAAATATTCCTTTACATGTGGTTCAGAATTCTGACACTATCCCTTAGCTTACTTGGTCCTGTATTCTGTATTGTTGCTGACAGAGCTCTTCACTGCACTTCCGCCATCTTGTTTGTTCCTCTTATGACACTTCTTGAAATGATTGAACATCTACTAATTCTTTTTGGTACAATGACTGTGTATTCCTAATATCTTCTTTAGATGCTTCCTCCATTGTTCAATATTTTGCCCATAAAATCCCTCAATGTTGCAACCTGAGGCTTGAATACTTCTGTTCTTTCAGTGAGAAATACTTAGTGTGTTCTTCCCTTTTGGTTTTCTAACTCCAAGTATTTGCACATTCCATTACAATACCTGACTTTGTTTTCTTGAGCTGCTCTTTGAAATTGTCTTATCAGCTCTTTCACTTGGTCATTTCTTTTTGCTTTAGCATCTCTATGCTGGAGAGCAAGTTTCAGTCTTCTGACATCCATTTTGGCCTTTGCTTTCTTCATGTTATTGATGTCATCTCACAGTTTTGTCATTAGTGTCTAATGCATCAAATCTGTTCTTGAGTTAGTCTCTAAATTCAGGTGAGATATATTCAAGGCCATATTTTGGTTCTTGAGGACTTGGTTTAATTTTTCTAAGCCTCAGGCTGACCTTACATATGAGCAGTAGATGGTATGTTCCACAGTCAGTACCTGACCTTGTTTTGACTGATGATATGGAGCTTTTTTTACCATCTTTTACCACAGATGTAGTCAGTTTGATCCCTGTGTATCCTGTCTGGTGAGGTTCATATGTATAGTTGTCATTTATGTTGTTTAAGACAGGTATTTGCCATGAATAAGTCATTAATCTTGCAAAATTCTATCATGGCATCTCTAGTGTCATTTCTCTCTACTTTTTCCAACTATTAATTCACCCTCCTTGTTTCCAGTTTTCACATTCCAATCACTAGTAATTATAAGTGCATCTTCATTACATGTTTCATCAATTTCAAAATGAAGAAGTTGGTATAATTGAATTTCATAATCACTGGCTTTGTTGGTTCGTGTGTAAATTTTAATAATAATGGTATTAGCTGGTCTTTCTTGTAGGCGTACAGTTATTATCCTATTCCAAACATTTCACTTCCAGGTAGATCTTGAAATATCACTACTCTTCAGTTTGTCATCTCCACATAGTAAACCATGTGATTGTCTGATTTAAAATGACCAATGCCAGTCCATTTCAGTCTACTAATGCTTGGGATATTGATCTTTATGCATTCCATTTAATTTTTAATGACTCTTCTTGGATTCATACTTTTTATATATTACATGTTCCAGTTATTAATGGATGTTTCCAACTGGTTCTTCTCATTTTGAGTTGTGCCCTATCAAAAATTGAAGATCTCAAAAGCTTTGCTCAATCCATGTCTTTAAGGTCAGTTATACTTTAAGGAGCTCTGGTAGCGTAGTGGTTACGAATCGGGCTGCGAACCTTAAGGCCAGCAGTTCGAAACTACCAGCCGCTCCGCGGGAGAAAGATGAGGCGTTCTGCTCCCGTAAAGATTTACAGCCTCGGAAACCCTGTACAGGGTCGCTATGGGTCGGAACCGACTCGATGGCACTTAACAACAACAACATACTTTGAGGAGGCAACTCTTCCCCAGTTACATTTTGAGTGCCTTCCAATCATTCACGCTCATCTTCAAGCACTATTACCAGACAGTGTTCCACTGCTATTATAAGGTTTTCATTGGCTAACCATTCAGAAGTAGTCCACCTCTTCTTCCTAGTCTGTCTTTGTCTAGAAGTTCTACTGAAACGTGTCCACCATAGTTGACCTTGCTTATGTTAGGATACTGGTGTCATAGCTTCTAGCATCACAGCAACACAAGCCACCACAGTCCAACAAACTGATAAGACAAATGGTCAGCTCTGTAAAAACCACAACAGCCCGGCAAACTTGACAGATCAGTGGTGGTATACTCATAGACCAAAGCCAGACATACTGCTCTCGAGTCGATTCAGGCTCCTAGCAACCCTAGAGGACAGAGTCGAACTGCCTCATGGGGCTTCCAAGACTGTCATCTTTACAGAACCAGACTGCCACATAGTTCTCCCGTAGGTTTAGAAACTCTAGGTATCCTTATAAATGTGAGCATTTACATAAACTCTATTTTTAATATTATTGAATAATCTCGCTTTAGTACCCATAGATACCTTATGCTGCTATGCTGCTATATAGTATTCTACTTATGGAATGCTCAAGATATTTATTCACTGTTGGTGGTCATGCAGGGGTTTCCAGTTTGAGGGGTTATTTTGTTTTTGTTTTTACTGTTTCTCATGGTGTTGCATTAACATATGTGGATAGGACTCCTTGTACAAATAACTGCTTCTCAGGGGAGATACCTAGCAAGGAAACGTATGGGCATTTTCCGTTTTTTTTAAAAAAGGACAACCAAGTTTACTTCCAAAATGAATACAATGAATGATATTCCAGAAGGCAGTGTGTAAGGGTAATTATTTCACCATAATTTTATCCATCCTTTTTGTTGCTAAGTGCCATGGAGTTGGTTCTGACTCATACTGACCTTGTATAGGGTATCCGAAGAGCACCTGGTAGGTTTGAACTGCTGACTTTGCAGTTAGCTGTCCAGTGTTTATCCTACAGTTTATCCTCAGGACTCTTTGTAAAGTGCCATTGAGTCGGTTCCTACTCACAGTGACCCTGCGTAGGGTTTCTGAGGTTTGAACCTCTGACCTTGAGGTTAGCAGTCTGGTGCTTATCCTACAGAATCACACCAGGACTACTTATCCACCCTAGTTATGATCGAAAGTAGCTCAGGTGACTCAGTGGTTAAGTGCTTGGCTGCAAAATGAAAGGTTGGTGTTTCAAACTCACCATCATCTCTGCAGGAGAAAGCTGCTGTAAAGATTGTTGTTGTTAAGTGCCGTTGAATCAGTTAGGACCCATAGTGACCCTGTATCAGGTTTCCAAGGAGCTACTGGTGAGCTTGAACTGATGACCTTGCAGTTCAAACTGACTTTGCAATCCAGTGCATTAACCCATAGCACCACACCCTACTGGGCAATTCTGCCCTGTCCTATAAAGGAAGCATGGTAGCGTAGTGGATTGCAAGCTGATCTGCTAACCACAAGGTCAGTATTTTAAATATACAAGTCCTTCCACAGGAGAAAGATGAGGCTTTCTGCTCCCATAAGGATTTGCAGCCTCAAACCCTAAAGGGGTCACTATGATTTGTAACCAGCTCAGTGGCACACAACCACCACTGTCCTGTCCTTTAGGATCACTAATAAGTAGAAATTGACTTGATGTCGTTGGGTTAGGTTAGGGTTAGTTACATATTATGATCAAGCTTTATGATTTTGCTGATCTGATGAGTGTGATGATTTATTGTTTTAATTTGCACTTCTCTTATTTAGTGAATTAAGCGGGTGTTTTTGTTTTTTGTTTTTCAGTGTGTATTGGCTCAGGTTTTGTTTTTGTGAAGGTCTGTTTCCCTTGGCAGTTTTTTTGTTGTGGTATTGTATATTGATTTGTAGGAGTTATCTGTACATTCTTAATACTAATACTCATTTCATGTTTTATAAGGATTTCTATAAGTCTGCTTCACCAGCTCTTTTCTTCAGAATAAAATTTCATATGCATATTAAATCTTTTCATTAGTTTTCTATATTCTAAACATTTTAATGTTTTTTCTTCTTTCTCTGTAGGTTATGAACGTGATTTCTGATGAAACTGGATTGGAATCATTTTCATGATATTTGGATATTTATACATATGTATATTTTTAAATTTTGCATTTGACTAAAAGTGCCATGAGAAAATTTGCATACTGCAAGGTGGTCTTAGCCACCTCCTTGATTTGGGTACTCTTGGATATGTTCCTGCTGCTTTACTTCAGTGAATGCAACAAATGTGATGAAAAAAAGGAAAGAGGACTTCCTGCTGGGGATGGTGAGTACAATCTTATCATAATCCAGCCATTGTGATGAATATATCACTGGTGTTTATCAGCTAATTTGCATAGAGTAAAAATCTAACTCATTCGATTAGCAATCTTAGATTCCCATAAGTAATGATCCAATTTCCAACAATTCTCCAGTGTTGTTGTGTTCATAGCGGCCCTGTATAGGGTTTTCAAAGAGTGACTGGTGAGCTTGCACCACCAACCTTGTCATTCAAACTGACTTTGCAGTCCAGCACATTAACCCGCAGCGCTACACCAGGACTCTAAGAAAGAGATGGTGGTTGTTTTGTGCCATCAAGTCATTTCTGTCCCATAGCAACCCTGTATAGAGTTTTCAATGAGCAGCTGGTGAGCTTGAACCACCGATCTAGCGGTACAAACCCACTTTGCAGTCCTTCGCATTAGCCCACAGCAACACACCAGGACTTCAATCAATGGGTTCTTGCAAAAAAGTATTCGAATATCATTAAAGCATTATTAAGTTCAATTTTTGTGTGTAGTGTCAAGTGTAGTTAATTTTCTCAAAATTATTTTATGTTACAGACGTGTGGTAAGTGATCTTATTACTGGAACTATCAAACTAGCACAGATTAGTCTATTGCTGAGTGGAGTGTTAAAATTGCATTATTAGTTATTAACAGAGATTGACTTGTGTGTCCCGGCCTCAGCCCTAAGGAATAGAAGTCATTGTGGATAGATAACGATCTGGAAGTTAAAGAACTGAAGATAACCCCAGTTAGCATTTTTATTAAAGAAAGAGTGGATGAAAGAGTAGGGACTATATATAGTATATATACTCACTATACTATTCAGGATGGAAAAGAAAAGAAGCATACAAATATTAAGGGTCTCTGTTAGGTAGTACTGTCATTTTGGCAGGTTGTTGTTTAGTGCTATACAGTAGATTGTGACTCATAGCGACCCTGTACAGGGATTCTGAGGAGCGGCTGCTGAGTTTGAACCACCAGCCTTGTGGTTCAAACCGACCTTGAGGTCAAGTGCTTATCTTACAGTGCCACACCTGGAAAATTGAGTTTTAAACTCCTTGTATTCAAACAAACAAATGCTGCTGGTTTGGTTTTGTTTGTAACTGTAATGAAAATGACTGCATAGTGAGAATCAGTAATTCCACTGTTCTGGGCTTTGATACCTTTCTAATTAGTTATAAAATACATGATGTACAGTAACTACACTGTTTTTTTAGGAACTATACACAAATAATTACTCAAATATCACTTTTGAGTTGTTGCACTGTAGGATGGACACTGAACTGCTAACCACAAGGTCAATGGGTCAAACCCACAAACTGCCCACAAGTTACCTATATTGGGTAACTATGAGTTGGAACCAGTTTGATAGCACTTAAAAACAATAGCAACAAGCCGTATCTAAACTTTTTTATATTTTCATAATGAGAACAGTGCCTCATCTTTCAAAATTTATAATATAAAAGTTATTTGTTTTGGCAACTGTGCCTACTTACTATAATTTTCATAAATAATTTTATACAGCCAGTTTTGAAGATTTCGTTTCTGTCTTCTAGGGAAATTTGTCTAAAATTAGGTTCAGTTACTAGTAATACCTGGGCTAATCCCTAATTTAAATTTTGACTTTCATGTCAGGTTTTAATAAAATGCATTTTTATTCAAAGTCGGTTCATTAATTTGGATAATCTTCCCTGGTTTACTGTGGAGCTCTGGTGTTTAGTAACTTTGTCATTGTTATTGCTGCTAAATGGCATCAAGTCAGTTCCAACTCATCTTGTTGTTAAAGTACCATCAAGCTTTTTCTGACTCATTGTTGTTGATGTTGTTAGGTGCCATCAAGTCAGTTCCAACCCATAGCGACCTTATTCACAGTAGAACAAAACACTGCCCACACCTGGGCCAACCTCACTACCATTGCCACGCTTGAGTCCATCGATGCTGCCACTTGGCCAGTCCATCTCATTGGGGGTCTTCCTCTTTTTCTCTGACCCTCAACCTTACCAAACATGATATCCTTCTCCAGCAACTGGTCCCTTCTGACAATATGTCTGAAGTACGAGAGACAAAGTTTGGCCATCTTGGCCTCCAAGGAGCATTCTGGCTGGATTTCTTCCAAAACGGATGTATTGGTTCTTTTGGCAGCCCATGGCACTTTCAGTATTCTCCACCAACACCATAACTCAAAAACATCAGTTCTTCTACGATCTTCCTTGTTCACTGTCCAGCTTTCACATGCATATAAGGTTATCAAAAATCCCATGGCTTGGGTCAGGTGCACCTTAGTCCTCAAGCTGACATCTTTGCTCTTCAACACTTTAAAAAGGTCTTGTGCAGCAGATTTGCCTAATGTAAATTGACTCATAGTAGCCCTCTATTTTGAGGGTTTGAACCATGAACCTTGCAGTGCTTATCCTACAGCACTATACCAGGTCTTTCCTAGTAACTTTACTTGGCAATAAAACTCTGCCTCCTGAATTGCTGCTAGCACTATAACTCCCTGTGTACAATCAAAGGGCAAATATTAACCTTCACCCATCAGGAAACTCAATTCTTCTTTTTTTTTTTTTTTCCAAATAGAACAGATAAATTTTCTCCTCAACTGACCTTAATTCCCTGCTATTTATAGTGGGAACCCATGGTGTACTACTGTAAATGCAGAAGCATGAAAATAAGGAAGTCTAGGACCTGCAGTGGCTTCTGGTGTGCTGTAGGATCAGCACTAGACTGTTAACCACAAGGTTGGTGGTTCAAAGCCACCAGCCACTCCTTGGAAACCCTGTACAAGGTAGCTATGAGTCAGAAGTGACTCACACTTACAACAACAAAGGACCTGCAGCATATGACCATTCCCTTGGTGAATTATTTTATACTGAACAGGGTATTAGACAGTAGTGATGCACAATTGAACAACAACCACAGAAGACAGAATTCTTCCCTTCAGAGAGCTCACAGTCTAAGGAGAGAGAAAGAATAGTAAAATGCCAATGTAATTAATATCATATGAGAGAGATGTATACAAGAATAAAAAGGAAGGAAAGCTTTGGAGAATCTGAGAAAGTGCAACAAGGAATTGTTCCAGTTTATCAGGGTAAAGAAGTTGGTTCCATTTGGTGGGGGGTGGGAAGGCTTTCCAAGCAGAGGGGGGAAAGCATGTGCCAAGATCAGTGAGTGAGAGAGAGCAGAACTGGTGGGTAGGAGAATGTGAAACAGGAGGAGAAGTAGAGTCCATAATGTCAGTGAAGATGCTAATTGTTTAATAAGAGGATAAAAGGGTTGGGAAAAGTGATTTAAGCCTTTTATCAGTAATTTTTCCCAAATGGGAAGCACAGTCCTCTTTATTCTAGTTCTATGAGGAAAATGCTAATTAGAAATTTGACTCATTAAGGTACATTTCAAAAGTATGCCACATAGTTTGTGTATGTTAATTCTGTTGTTTGGTGACTTCCAGAGTGACCTTAGTAACGAAGTTTTTAAAAAGGTAACACTTTTACATTGTCATGTAAGTGAAGTTTAACTGATGTATATAATGAAGTATATTTGTTCCCACATAATACTTTAGAACACTCCCCTTGTCGGTTAAAGTTGATTGGGTTCTTAGAAATGATCTGAATGCCAATACAAAGAACTTTTTTTCAGTTATGGAGGCATGATATCTAAACCCCATTTCAGTTACTTTAAAACAGAAATGTCATTGAATTACCTCATAGTTTACGTAACGTTCTGGTAGGAAGAGTACATGGAAAGTTTATGTTTACCATCTTTTTTTGGTGGTTGCTTCTAATAGTATAAGTATATATCACTAGTAAAAATATGTTTGTTCGTGAACCACATACATTTTGTCCAGTCTTTTTTGCTAAGGAAAATTATTCTACAGGGTATGATAGTTTCTGAATTAGGATAGTGTGATGGATTCTGTAAGTCATATAACTTTTGATGAATGTTAATTTCATGTGTAGCTCCGAAACATCCTGTGTACCAATAGAATGAAGTATATAATCAGGGATTTTTAATTGGTACCAAGGGATCAAATCTGTACAATATTGCAGTAGCAGGTTTGTGGTTTTTTGCCGGATTCTTTAAGATCCCAAGGGAAATTTTTACTTCACAACAATGGTAAGGCAAGAACTTGTATTTCTGGTCATATAGATCTTTTGCTATGATAAACAATAGGACTATTCCTCAGTAGCATTCATAAAATTGCTTGTGTACTACACTTATGTAAGACCGTAGTCACACAGAAGAGGTATTATGTAGTAGTCTTTTTTGTATTTCCAACTCCCCTTCTTTGTGGAAAACTTGAAACATAAACAAAAGTAGAAAGAAGAGAAAATTGAACCCCTGCATTTCCATCTCCTGGCTTCATAGCTGTAAACTCATGGCCATTCTTGTGGCATGGATACTTCTGTCTTTTCTGTTTTCTTCCCCCTGCCCCCTTAAAAAAAAAGTGTTGAAAAAGAAAGTAGGTTACTTCTCTTTCCAGTTTTCCACAGTCAGAGTTGCATCCCTTTTTGATGCGGTTTTCTGTACTGTTTATTATGTCTCTCGATTCCCTGTATTTCCTGTGAACTGGTAAGTAGTAACTCCAGAGGATCTTTTTGGGTTTTTTCACCCCCAGCAAAAATACGTTGTAGTTGGCTTGTGTATAATGTAACACTCTTAATAAAAAACTGAGCAATATGAAACTAGTTCTGTTTTAATGTTTCCTTAAAGCACCATCACATAGTACTAAAATAGGACACAAGCAACTGAAGGGTATTTATAATCAGGGCCACTAGATGTCTCCCACCTACTCTTATGTTTTCTGTGCCCTTCCCCAAAGATTTGCCAGTCAGAATTCTGCTACTTCCTACTGACCTCAAATATGTCAAGCTCTATACATGTATTCTAGTCTTCATTGCTCTTGTCATTGGGTTTCTTCCTTTCTCTCTCTGTTTCTTTCTCCCTTTCTTTCTTTTCTGCCAACCCTTATATTTAAACAAGTTACTTACATGACAAGCATGAGGTAAGGTACTGTTTATAGAAATGGTATTACTTGACTTTCCTATAATTGCTTGTTATTTAATCCTAACATTTTAGTGTCTCTCCTAAAATTATAATTTATTCTGAGAACAGGGGGAAATTATTATAACACTACTTGTCTTGATGGCTCTCCAAAATAGATTTTTATATGTTTAGGCAGTTATTAAAGATGCACTGAATGACTTATTTTTTTCTTCTCATCCTAAATTTCTCTATATTGAAAAGCATCTGAATAGTCCACAGGTTAGCTTTATCAACTAGTGTTATTCTTAGGCAATGAAGTCTGTCTGAGGAGACATGGTTTTCCTTCTGTTTGTACATTGCCATTTTTGTACAAAGATATTTTTGAGGATGCCTAGGGTCACTATGGGTCGGAACTGACTCAATGGCACTTAACAACAACAACAAACAAAAAATAAACTAGTAAACACTTAGCTTTCAAAATTGATAAATAATGTGCAAAATGGGTATTCTCATCCCCCTCTTGGCCTCACCCCATTCTCTACCCCTCCGTTTTAACAGAGCATTTTATACATTTAATATACCCCAGAATATTTTTCATTTAAAAACGTCTTAACATTTCAAAAAAGCATGTTACAAAGCCCAGAGGTTGGGAAATGCTGATCTGGAATATTGCTCTTTCACGATATATTTTAAGAGTTAGCAAACTGATTCAAACTCTCTTTCAAGAGGCCATGTCTTGCATAATAATGGTGACACCAGTACCATTTTTATCCGATCAAGGGTTTTCATTTTGGCTGATTTTGAATATCATTTTACTTATGACTTCAGCAGATGCTATAAAGCGCCTGAAAGACACTATGCTAAACTCCACAGAAGGTACATGAATGAAGGAAACAAACCTCAGAACCAAAAAGAGATTGGAGAAATGAGAGGCCTAAATAGAATGGTATGGTTGTCAAGATTAGTAGTTCTCAACTATAGAAAGATTCAGAACGGTTGCAGGCAGTTTTGCATTGAGAGATAAGTAAGAGTAAGAGAGGTATGAGGAGGGAGATGTCAAAGGAGAAGAGCTCTGTGTAAGCAGAGGCACAAAAGCAAGAGAGTGTGGCACACACAGGAGGAGAAATAGGAGGGGCTGGCTGTTAAAACTGAAAGGGGAATGACTGGGAGGCAGTGGAGGGGGCTGTAGCAGGTGGCAGGCTCAGAAGTTTACGTTAAATTCTGGATTAAAGAGGTTGGACTCTAAAAAGACTGTAGGAATAGCCTAATGAAGGCTGTGTGTAAGGAGAGTAATGTGGCAGTAGTATATGAGGTGGGAATGAGAATGCTCTGCAATGATTCTGGTGAGTGATAAAAGGTCTTGAGCCAGGACACTGGTTAGGAAGAGGTTGGGTTCGGAGATGACTGTAGTTGTTGAAGGCACAGTTTAAACTCCAAGGTTGTTAAACAGAAATATGAACCAATTCCTATAATGTTCGTTAAGTTTCCTCCTTATTCTTAGTTCTAGAGCCAGTACAAAAGCCTCATGAAGGTCCTGGAGAAATGGGGAAGCCAGTCGTCATTCCTAAGGAGGATCAAGACAAGATGAAGGAGATGTTTAAAATCAATCAGTTCAATTTAATGGCAAGTGAGATGATTGCACTCAACAGATCTTTACCAGATGTTAGGTTAGAAGGGTAAGTACTTGTAGGTCCTGATGGCATTTAATCTGAATGAAAATGTGTTCTGAATTCGCAATCAATGTGCCTACTCATGCTGATTGTTCTTAAAGTGAATGTTGCATCACTAAGATGTTACTTACCCAACTTAAAAAATAATTATATACTGATGAAATAATACCTCTAGTTACTCCTGATCATTAGAACTCTCTATTTCAGACTTGGGAATATCATTGTTTCTCATAATGGATTACTAGGGGTGTTTGAATGAATGATTATTAAAATATTCATATACTCAGCTTATTAAAAAGTCTTTCTAAATTGAAGTGGAACTTAAGGCACTGTGAAGTATACAAGTCCTAAATGTATGGGTTGTTGAATCTATGTCTGTGTATACCTGGGCAGCCATCCTTCAAGTCAAGACATGGAGCACCTCCTTCACTCCCGCACATTCCTTTACGCTCCTTTCTAATCAGTGCTCTTGTCCCCAGAGGAAGCTATTGTTCTAATCTCTGTAAGCACAGAATGGTGGTGTCTTATTTTCAACGTTTTTATAAATATATATCGTATGTAATCCTGCATTTACTCTTCCCCATTGTAGTGTAGTAGTGTGCTGTGTAAAAGTCCCATAGTTTGTGTCCATGCTGGTGGGCCTTTGGGTTGTTCATACTTTTGACTCTGAGACGTTGTGACATTGTTGTACATGCTCCTGTGTTTCCTGTCTGTCCTGTAGGTGAGTAGTTAGCTCTAGAGGCTCTTGGTCCTGAAATTCTCGAAGTCAGGCACATTGTGTGCTTGTAGAAGAAGGGTGTGCGTCCTGGTCATCATGTTGGTCATTATTCCATGCCCTGTCCGTGTGCCTTCTTGTTTTGAGGCAATGGAACACTGTGCAGCAATGAAGATGAATGAAAGCACCATGCCACAGGATGAACTCATCTCACTCATAGTTTACTGAGAAAAGTGGTTCACACACAAGAATGTGTAGTGCTTTCACTTTCTGCAGTTTCAGTTACCCGTCATTGACCACGATCCAGTCTGAAGGTTGCATGCCTTTCTAAGCAGCAAGATAAAATCTCACACCGTCTCGCTCAGTGCTGCTCTGTCCTCCAACCAGCTTCCTCCTTCTCTGCTGGCATCTGACAGGTTAACACTGCCTGACTGGGTCACCCTGAGTACCTGTCACATGTATGTATAGAAAAAAACCATAATGTATACAAGGGGGCTTCAAAAACTTCATGGAAAATTTCGATATCCTGTTACTGCATTTTCCATGAACTTTTCAAAGCCTCCTCATATAGCAGTCAGTACTTTCCTTGGTTGTAGGCATCCACTGGAAGTCTTAGAACGTATCCCCATGACTAAGGAGGGGTTACTACATTTAAGGAGTACTGGTGTGGTGCTGTAGGTTCAGCACTGGACTGCTAACTGCCAGGCTGGTGGTTCAAACCCACCAGCTGCTCCTTGGAAACCCTATACAGGGTTGCTATGAGTCAAACCCAACTCAACAGCACTTAACGATAAACAAAGTAATTCTGTTTCTGGAAAAGTTAGAAACAGGCAAGACAAACTACAATGCTAAGCATTGCGATAGTAGTTGGTCACCTTTGGTTAGGAGCATCATTAGAGGTAATAGTTGGTAGCAGGAGTGGTGGTCTTGTCAGGTGCTGGCAGGGTTTTTGACCCAAGTGATGGTCACATTGATGTTGGTGTGATAATCCATTAAGTTCAGAGTTTATGTCTTATACTCTTCTGTGTGTTTGTGTGACATTTCATAATAAACTCAGCTTTTAAGAAGAGTGGGAAGTGAAGCAACAGAGATGGCAAGCCAAGACAGTGCTTTCAAAGTGTGTTACTACAGAGGGAGGAAGACAAGAGTAGGTGTTAACCATAGAGATCCTGAAGTCAGGGAGGCAGTATATAGGAGAGTGTGTATGCTGATGGGGAAATATAAGAGTATCTTATCGGAGCAAGGGAACCCCTGGATGGTGCCAACGGTTAATGCACTCAGCTGCTAGCCAGAAGGTTGCAGATTCCAATCTACCCAGAGGCACCTTGAGAGACGAGCCTGGCAATCTTCCAAAAAATATCAGCCATTCAAAACGCAATGGCACACAATTGTACTCTGATACACATGGGGTGCCATGCTTAGTCAATAGCATCTGACTAAGATCACCTCTGACTGCCAATCTACAGCATGATCCATGAGGACGTAACGTAAATGCAGTGCCCCACCTCCCGTCCTTATTTCTGGCTGTTTTTGTTTAAATTTTTTATTTCTTCAAAATTGAAGTTACTCATTTATGTCACTAGACATTCTAACATACTTATTAAATGCCTTTGTTAGGTGTTTCCATAAAATTAAATTCACTGCAGTTGGTTACACGTTCCAGTTGATTTTACTGGCTGTCATTTCTAGCCTTTAACCTCTTCCTGTGATTTGGGAGAGTGCTTTGCAGGCTCCTGTAGAGAAGGGGATTTCGGTCACTGCTGTTGTTTTTCCTTCATTTGTGGATTGATTCTCACGTCTTTCCCGTGCTTCAGTAAGTTGAATGAGTCTTGTAAGCATTTTGCTGAATGAAAGAAAGAAACCAATCTCAAGTTTATACACTGTATGGTCTCATATGGCATTTATGAAAGGATGAAACTACAGTGAATGGAGATCAGTGGCTGATGGGTTAAATGTGTGATTTTAAAAGGTTTTAGCATGAGAGAGTTCTTGAGGGAGATGGACCTCTTCTGCTTCCTGGTTGTTAATGGTGGTTATATGATTCTGTCCATGGGTTCGGGAATATGGTGCCTCTGTACAATAAGCACTAGACTGTTAAAACCACAAGGTCAGCAGTTCGAGCCCACCAGCCACTCTGTGGGAGAAAGATGAGACTTTCTGTTCCCACAAAGATGTACAGCTTCAGAAACCCTATATAGGGTTGCTATGAGTCAGAACTGACTCAACACTTAAGAACAACAACAATGCATGGATTACAGCTCATAGAACTATACACACATACCCAAAGTCAGCTTAAAAAAAAAGACACAAATCCAAGTGTTGAAAGTGTCCAGAGCATATGGAGCACTCATAGACTGTTGGTAAGTGTACATTGTTACAACCTCTTTGGAAAACTGTTTCACAAAATCCACTAAAGATGAACTTGTACACACCCCATTGCTTAACAGTGCAGAAATGTGTACATACAGTAGCCCAAAGACATGTATGTGAATTCATATCATTGCTCATAACTCAAACTGGAAAGTCCTGTCATGTCCACTAGTGGTGGTGGTGAAGTGCCATGGAGTCAGTTCCAACTCATAGCAACCCTGTACAGGGTTGCTGAGGCTGTAAATCTTTAGGGAAGCAGAAAGCCTTATCTTTTTCCCACAGAACAGCTGGTAGTTTCAAACTGCTGACCTTGAGGTTAGCAGCCTGACTTGTAGGCACTACGCTACCAGAGCTCCTTCCACTAGTAGTAGAATAGGAAAATAAATTACAGTCTGCTCATATAATGAAATATTATGTAATAAAAATGAACAAGCTGTTGCACATGACATAAATGTTCTACAAGCATTAAGTTAAGTAAAAGAATTCGGACACACAAAAATATATTGTATATCAAGAAATCAAACAACATATTGCATTAGACCGAGCTGCTTCACAAGACCTCTTTAAAGTGTTCAAGAGCAAAGACATTAGTTTGAGGACTAAGGTACACCTGACCCAAGCAGTGGTATTTTCAAAAACCTCATATGCATGTTAAAGTTGGGCAATGAATAAAGAAAAGACCATAAAAGAACTGATGCATTTGACTTATAATGTTGACAGAGAATATTCAAAGTACTGTGGACCGCCAAAAGAACAAACAAATCTGTGTTGGAATAAGTCCAGACAGAGTGCTCCTTAGAAGTCAGGATGCCATGATTTCCTTTCTGAGTATTTCGGACATATATCAGGAGGGACCAGTACCTGGGGAAGAACCTCATGCTGAGAAAAGTGGAGGGTCTGTGAAGAGAAAGACCCCAACAAGGATGGATTGGCACAATGGCTACAGCAATGGGCTCAAGTGTGGCAGCAATTGTGAGATTGATGCAGGACCGGGCAGTGTTTTGTTCTGTTGTACATAAAGGTTGCTCTGAGTTGGTACCAACTTGATGGCACCTAACAACAACAACAACATATCAGTGGTCCTCACAGTGTGATCATGGGACTTCTGGAGGTCCCTCAGACCTGTAAGATCAAAGCCATTTTCACATTAATGGTATGAATGTTTCTTTGCTCTTTTTCATTGTCAGTCTCTAATTAATGTACAGTGGAGTTTGAGAGGTTACATAGATGAGGTTTGAGAGGTTACCAGGAGGTGGAATCACAATAAGTTGAACAGGGAAAGTTTACTGTAAATGATTATTAACTAATGGAATTGACTATAAAGAGAAAAGACAATTCTAAAGATTCCTGGAGCTCTCATAGTGTAGTGGTTACAAATTGAGCTGCGAACTGCAAGTTCAAAACTACCAGCTGTTCCACGGGAGAAAGATGAGGCTTTCTGCTCCCGTAAAGATTTACAGCCTTGGAAACCCTTCACGAGTCACTATGAGTTGGAACCGACTCCACGGCACATAACCACCAACCACCACCAAGAAAGGAAAAACCTTGTAAGGAAATTCCCTCACTAAAGCTGGGATTTAGACCTCATCAGGGATGGTCTAAGGATATCTGGTGGCACTGTTGCTGTTGGGTAGGTGTTGATTGCTAACCACAAAGTCAGCAGTTCAAACCCACCAGCTGGTCCTCAGGAGAAAAGGTGATGCTGTTTGCTTGTAAAGGTTTCCAGTCTCAGAAGCCCTATGTTGAGACTCTCTTAGTCAGAGTTGACTTGATGGCAGTGGGTTTGGGTATTTGTTTCTTTGTTGGCTTGGTTTGGAGAAGGTCTGATTGCAGCTCACTGGAAGGTGGAGTCCTTTGCTGGTGACTCAGGAGTCACTCAGGGCTCCACACAGTGAACAGTACCTCTGAGACAGAGACTAGTGAGCAGACCCTTGTGGCCAGGACTGACAAACAGGAAATCCGGGCCCTACCTGGCAAACCAGAGCCACTTCAGAGGAATGGTTTGGCAGGCAGCTAAAGCCAGGAAACCAACTCTGAGGGTGCTGGGAAGCTCACTGAGAATGGGCCTGTGAAACTCAGTGAAGATGAAGGCCTCTTGATAAAAGAAGTTCAGCCTTCAGCTGGTTCATTTGCATTTTATCCTTGAGGCTGAAGGACTCAGTTGTTGTTGTTGTTGTTAAGTGCTGTTGAGTGATTCCGACCCATAGTGACCCTGTATAGGGTTTGCAAGGAGCAGATGGTGAGTTTGAACCGCCGATCCTTGTAGTTCAGATGGCTTTGCAGTCTGACGTATTAACCCACAGCGCCACACCAGGACTCTGAAGGGCTCAGTTAGGACAGGTGAAAAGCAAGCTGTCTGTGGTCTTCCTGCTCCTGCTCACTTCTGTGACCTATGACCCCTTCCCTCTCTCTCAACACGCATACACACAAGTGGTCTTTCCATGGGAAAAGCTTGTCTAGACTGCTGAAAAGGACCTTTGGATATTTTCAAGTGCTTTGTGACTTTCATGTGCACATGTGCATGTGTATCTGTTATGACAAGATTTAGAAAAGGATATCCTTCATGAAATTGATGTTCTCTGAAAACTTAAACTGCTTGATGTAGGGAATTAGTTTCCCTTTTCGTCATTGATTCTTTTGGTTCCTAATGTTTGCTCTGTTTTGTGATCTTTCTGTTCTGTTGTAAATGATTTCCAGTTTAGTCTTCTTTTCTTTTAGTATTTTCCTCATTTTATTTCATTTTCCTACAATTTCGAAATTTAATTCTTTCAGTATATCACCCCAGATATAAATGTGCGTCATCTTGCACCATGTTTCTTCTGAAGACCTGCTCTCGTAGATTTTTGTGTCTTCTTTCCTAGCCACGAACATGACTAACAACACTGTTTGTACACTGCATTTTCTTAATGATCTTTAATATCTTACTCGATTTTATTCCTTTTGCTGTTTTGGCTAGCTAGTAGCAGCTTTGTGGTCACTTTGACTATTTTCTGCTTTCTCCTTATCTTGGGAAAAGAGATCATGGGGGAATTTACAAAAATTTAATGGAAAAATTCCATTATCTTTTCATTCAATTTTTAACCAACTTATTGAAGCCTTCTCATATATGACTTAATGCAATTCAGTTGAATACTTTAAGAAACTCTTTTTCTTGCCTTTCCTTTTTCCAAACCCCCTTTTCTCATACTCTGGGCATTCCTGACTTCAAAGTTTGGTCCCAGTAGTTTGTGAGCTAGGTCTTCAGGGAGCATCTTCCCATTAAAACAAGTTTCTTGTCCATGAAATGATTTACCATTGGTACCTACAGAATCTAAACCCCAAACCAAGCCCACTGCTGTTAAGTCGATTCCTACAGATAAAGACCTTGTGTAGGGTTTCCAAGGCTGTAGCTCATTCCAGGAACAGAATGCCTCCTCTTTCTCCCATGGAGCAGCTGGTGGGTTCAAACTACTGACCTTATTTATGGGTAGCAGCCCAACATGTAACCTGCTCTGCCATCTAGCCATCATTTTATAATAGAGTTTTTATGGGAAACTGGTTTCAGAAGAAATATTTGGAGTGCTAAAGACATGTTTTCCTTATAATAGCATAGGCATCCAGTCTTGGTCCCCACCTCTGTTGTCCAGACTTGGAGGAAGTAAGCTATAGAGAGGGTAGCAGGCTATGTGGGGTCTTCTAGTGGATTTTGGAGTGAAAATGTGGAAACACAGAGTTAGAGGAAATGGGATTGTGAAGTGGAAAACAGACATGAGGCCTTGGGGGTCAGTGCATTAGTAGTGAAGTTACTGGTAATAGGAAATGGGAATCACTCCATGAAAGGAAGGCTTGGAAATGGTGGGTGGGGGTTCAAGTGGCATTTAATGAAGAGCGACAATGAAGGCTATTTGCTTCTCATTTCCTCCTGGAAGAGAGAAATGATAAGGGCTGACCATGATTCTGTCGCAAACAGTCCTTCATTTGGACCCTTTGTGCTACTGTCGTTTTTTCCCTTTTGGTTTCTTTGTTTTCAACTACCAACCAGCAACCCTAGAGTGGAGCATTCAGGAGTACGGTTGTAAGGTTACGAGTACAGAGCCAGAAACTTCAGGTGAGATTTTGTTGGTATTTTTCTCATCCCTATCACAGATGGTAACAGATGAGATTGGAGAGCATTCAGGTTTGAGAAGCTTGAGAAGAGGAGGGTGGAGGGAGGGAAGACAGAGAAGACTAAAGCAATGATCCTAACTGAGGATACCTAAGAGACTTGTTTGGAGTCCTGGTGTGGCACCATAGGAGAAACACTTCATGTTGAACTGCAAGGTTGGCGGTTCAAACTCACCAGCCACTCTTTGGAAACCCTATACAAGGTCGCTATGAGCCGAAACCACACTTAACAACAAGAGAGTTGTTATATACTCTCCTTAGGAATGTTATGTTCTGAAATCCATGCCAGTGTACCTGGTTATTTACTGACTTGATCTCTGATAGCCTATTATATGCCGTGGAGTCGGTTCCAACTCATAGCAGCCCTGCATAGGGTTTCCAAGGCTATAAATCTTTACAGGAGCAGAAAACTTCAATATTTAATTGAGGGTGTCAATTAATATTTAATAATAATATTTAATTGAAGACGGCAGCATCAAGAGTACTCAGAAGAGAGAGTGGACTGTGGAGTTTTCCAACAGGCCTGTCTCTCTCACTCACTGTCTGTGTGCCTTCAGTTTCTATAAATGTGGCTAGTGGTACCTACCTTACAGAATTATTAGGAAGCTGTTTAAAGTTCCTGGCTCATAGTAAGTACTCAGCAAGTTCTCTTCTTTTGTAGAAGATATATTTTTGTTTGGATTATTTAACGGTGTAAACACAGGTGACTCAGACTTTTTGTCTAGTTAAATTCTTAAAACTCAATTCAATGAGGATTGATAGTATAGCCGTAATACATTCCCCATTAAAATGAATCCACAGAAAACATTCATCAGTAAGAGATGCCTCATTTTAATAATACAATTGACATCTTTAAAATAATTTTAACCTAAGTGTCTAACTTAAACTAAGTACTTTTCATTATCCATGTTATAACCAAAACTTAACAGTCCGACCACTAGGATAAGCTGCTTTTGTTGTTTTCTCACAAAGAATAACATTTTGTGTCCTGTGCATGTTCAAGTCTACTGTCTGAAGGTCACTTTTTGTAAGGTGTCTGCTTTGTCTCTAGGTGTAAAACAAAGGTGTATCCAGATACGCTTCCTACAACAAGTGTGGTGATTGTTTTCCACAATGAGGCTTGGAGCACACTTCTGCGAACTGTCCATAGTGTCATTAACCGCTCACCACGACACATGCTGGAAGAAATTGTTCTGGTAGATGATGCCAGTGAGAGAGGTAAATTTGGAATTATTATGTGCCAAGCTATGCTGTATCTTTTATGACTAAGTTTTTGTTTTGTTTTGTTTTTTTGAAGGATGCTATAATTTTTTTAAAAGATACTATATTTTATATGCTTCTAGTTTATCTTAAAAAAATATTTGTAGCATTCAGACTCACTCACATATGCAAAAATTACAACCTGATGAAACCTAAGGTATTACTCTAATTAGCATCTAATTTATATCACTTCCTAATCTTACTTTAAAAGGAAATAATGGTGTATCATGCAAATGTTTATGCAGAGCAGTGCAAAGGCCTTCGAAATTTTGTTAGACTATTCTCTCTGGGAACCTGCCGCCCTCCCAGAATTTATGGAGAGAGACTGGATCCTATTTACAGGGATGAGCAGAGAAATTTCTTTCTATTTGTAGTTGGAAGTATCTTTGACAGCAAAATGGAACCGTAGCTGGATAATCCTTAGTTCTCCAGATTTGACCTAAGTTTTGTGTTTCTCTCTGACTCTTAGGGAGTCCTGGTTTGACTCTATGGGTTAATAATGTGCCAGACTTAACTGTTTGAACTGCAAGGGCGTTTGAACTGCAAGGTCGGCGGTTCAAGCCCACCAGTCACTCCTCGGAAACCCTGTACAGGGTCGCTATGGGTCGGAACCAACTTGACGGCACTTAACAACAACAACTTGACTCTCATCTCAATAAATCCTTCCAAAAATCTGTTTTCATAAATTTAGCATCTCACCATAAAGCACTCTTTATGAAATGGTAAATTAATTTAAGGTACTCTGCAGAATAGTATAGAAAAGGCTTATTAGTTAAAGACACCTGTTAAAACTTGAAGATAACCAGAGTCTTTTTTTTTCTTCTTAATAAAACGTACATATACTTAAGTCTCTAGTGCTTTTCTTTTGATCAACATTGGTCTTTTCCGTTTCTTTTGTTCTTATCTTTAGCCTCCTTGCCTATTCTTTCACTTTATATTTGCCAAGAGAGTTTAGTCAAATATTTTACTTTCTCCATCCTGTGACTGGGAGCACAGTGGCTCCCTACAGTAAGCAATGGGCTACAAAACGTAATGTCTGCAGTTTTTGCCCACCAGCTGCTCCGTGGGAGAAAGATGAGGCTTTCTGCTCCTGCAAAGATTTAAAGCCTCACAAACCCTTTTCAGGATTGCTGTGAGTCGGAATTGACTCAAAAGCACTTAACAACAACAAATCCCATAACCACACAAAATATCTGCATTCAACAGTGATTAAATTTAACCATTTAATATATTAATAATCAAAATGAACAGTAGCTTCTGTTAATTATGACTATAACACTTAAATAGTTTCTCCTGATTGTGGAAGAGTAAACCTCATGTAGTGAATTTGTTTTCTCTTTAAGAAAATTAACTCAGGTTAAATTAAGCAGCAATGTATGCAAACATCAATCCTGTAATTATCTTGTGTTTCGTTTGCTTCCATGTTGATAATAGCTAAATTAAATATTCCTCCAGGAGAGATATTTTCCCTCATATAAGTGAATTATTTCTCTAGTTCTTCCTTTGGTTTGACTATCATCCTGTTGAGTGAATGTTCAAGAGGTCTGTGTGAAATCGTTTGTATAGAATAATGACCTCATGACAAAGGGACACTGATCTGAAACTCTAGAGTGACAAAAACCCACACAAACCAGTTTCGTCTGTTTCCTCATGCAGAGCCTTGCTTCCTTAATTACCCCAAACTGTATTAATCTGAAAACTAATGTGAGGAGATGTCTGTTTTCCTGTTCTACCTGAAGCTCTGAGTCACAAAGCAAGATCCCCAAGGTCTACTCCAGAGTCCCTGGTCAGGGGTCTCAGACAGCATTTCTGGTATATGGCACCACTAGGCATGATTGTGGTTTTGTGATTATAATCACAGCTTTGCTAACCAGATTGAAAATTGTCTGTTATGATTTTGTTTGACTTCATTCATTCTTTTCTAGATGATAATTACTAGACCCAGGAACTAGAGCAGGCTCAATTTGCTGTGTTAGTCTTAAGTGTTTTTAAGTTTGAAACCCATCCAAGGAACCTTTGTTTCTCACCCGGTCTGCTGAAATACTGTAACTAGTTCCCCATATCCACTTCCACCCCTTCCCATCTGTTCACCAGGTACTCACAGAGTGAGATTTTAAACATACAAATCTGATCGTGTTGCTTCTCACGTCGGCCTGACTTTGGCCTCACCTTTATCTCCAGTCATTTCCAAAGC